TTATATTCTATTTGATGATGGGATGTTAGAATAGAAAATCCTTCGTATGCCTTGGGTACCATAACCCTATATATATAATAACTAATTTGCATCTAACTTTTATTTTGGTCCATCATAAAAATAAAAATTAGACTCGTGGTATTTACACACATAAAGCTCAAATAACTTAAAATCTTATCAGATCACTTTAAATGGTTAATCCTTTTATGATAGCCTATAACACCCAATTAATAACATAATTGGCCCACACATCAATTATTTTTTTCAACAATCTCCCACTTAGGCCATTTATGTTGTTTTACAATTATGCATTATAAAATGACTTTATAAGCTTAAAATTTGTTATCATTACTAAAGGCATCTCTAAACTATCCGGTCTATTAATCATATCAATATAGGATCAAAGCGATCTTCATTACATGTACCATAACTAGACCCATCAATTGTCACATACATCAATATAACCAATGGCACATATCAAATATGGATATGTAACATGGAAATTACATGCATTGTGATTTAAAAATGTCTATTTCCAACTAGTCCAACTTTATTCTTTAGTGAGATCACGAGTAAATACATTCACAATGTAAATAAACCATGTACTTTATTCCGCATAAAATATCCATAAAATTTATCTATAATTAAAAGCATTTAAATACAAACTCTTACTAAACTAATATATCATCAAGTAATATAACACCCATATGAGCAATATGCTCATGAAAGACCTTGGGTGGTAAACCTTTAGTAAGCGGATCCGCAATTATGGAGTTTGTGCCAATATGCTCTATAGACACTTGACCACTCTAAACTCTTTCTTTAACAACTAAGAACTTGATGTCCATATACCGCAACTTTGACCAGCTCCTATTGTTGTTGGAATATAGTAATGCTAACTTTTTGTCACAAAACAACTTTAATAGTCTTTCTATACCATCCAAAATTCACGAACTTAGTGACAAGATTTCTCAACCATATCCCACGGTTAGATGTCTCATAACATGCTATCAACTCTACTATCATAATGGAAGAAGCTATGAGTGTTTGCTTAGCACTCTTCTAGGAAATAGTCTCTCTAGTTAGTAGGTAGATATAGCCGATGTGGATCTTCAACTGTCTTAACGTCCAAGTAAAATCAGAATCAAAATACCCAACAATCTCTAACTAATTTGATTTTTTATATGTGAGCCTCGTAATCTTTTGTTTTATGTAAGTATCACATAACTCATTTGGTCGCTTTTTAATGATTCATTCTATGATTACTCAAATATTTGCCTAACATCCTAACAAGCTACGCAATGTTCGAACATTTACACACTTAAGCATACACTAGACTCCCTATAGCCGATGCATAGGGGATCTTTTGTATCTTTTTCACTTCAAACTCATTTTTAAGGCATTGATTGAGACTAAACTTATCTCTTTTAGCAATAACGGTGTCTCCCGATTTACGATCCTACATGCCAAACCTTTTAAGAACTTTTTTGATATAGCTCTTTTATGACAACCCAAGTATACTCTAAGAGCGGCCTCGGTATATCTATATGCCTAATACAAAAGAGGTGTCCCTAAGATCTTTTGTTTCAAATTTCTTTACTAGAAATCACTTAGTTTCATGCAATAAGCTTATATCATTACTAGCAACCAGTATGTCATCAACATATAATACTAGAAAAATGTGTTTACCCCCACTAAACTTGTGGTATATAAAATCATCAATTTCATTTATCTCAAAATCAAACAAGATAACTATTTAATGAAATTTATAATACCATTGATGGAAATCTTACTTCGATCTATATATAGATTTCTTTAATTTGCGGACCACTTTCCGTGAATCTCCCAACACAAAACTTTTTAGTTGCACCATATAAATTATCCCATCAATGTCACCATTGAGAAACATTATCTTTACATTCATCCGATGTAGCTCAAGGTCAAAATGTGTCATAAGTGCCATAATAGTTCTGAAAGAGTCCTTCGATGAAATCAAAGATAAAGTCTCTTTATAATCAATTCCTTCTTTTTAGCAAAGCCTTTTGCAACAAAAAGAGCTTTATATCTCTTCACGTTACCTTTTGAATCTCTGTTGGTTTTAAATATCTATTTACAACCAATGGACTTCACACCTTTAGGGAATGGGACAAGATCGAAAACATCATTGTCTTTCATGGACTTTATCTCTTCATTTATAGCATAAATCCACTTTTAAAAATTAGAACTTTGTATGGCTTGATGGAAGTTGATTAGATCATCTTCCACCACTCCTACCTTATGTTCTTGGAGAAAAATGATATAATTGTTAAAATTCACCATCGGTTTATAAAAGTCAAAGTCCAGTTCGTGGAGATCCGTTAAAATCTCATTTGAATAAGTCTTTAGTTAGTTGTTATTTTTTTAGTCTTGAATTATTCTATGTAATCTTGTTTTGTCCTATTCTTTAGTGGTTAGTAGGTCTATCCTTAAATGGCCATAGGTCTCATTAGTAATGTTAAATTCCAAGAATTTTAGGCCTATAAGTCTATATAAAGGTCATGTTGTTTTGTTGAAAATTCATCAAGTGAAAAAGACCACATCGGCTTTGCTTCTCTTCATATATCAATACTTATTTTCTTTTAGTGAGTTGTGGCACTCGTGTTCAACGAGTGTGGTATTAGAGCTGGTCACTGTGGGATTTCTATTTTGGCAAGATGATAGATCTTTAAGCTATTAGTGGAATCAAAAAGCTCAATAATCAAAACTATAATTCTTGGTCCACATGTATAATACCATAAATATAGGGATAAGACTTGTGGGAAGTTGTTGACGAAAGTGAGGTTATGCAACAAGATGATGATGCAAATGGCATGCTTGTGGAAATGGAAGATTAAAACAAGTAAAAAAGTGTTCGTTTTGAAGACAATGGTTGAAAAAGATGTGCTACAAGCACATTCGAAATGCTAAAACCCCTAAAGAAGCTTGGGATACGTTAGCCAACTCTGTTTACAAAGAAGAATGATATGAGACTCCAACTATTAGAAAACGAGTTCTTGTCGGTAACCCAACGAGATATGACAATTGCTCAATATTTTCACAAGGTGAAGTCCTTATGTTTGAAAATTTATGAGTTAGATCCACGAGCTCCAATCGAGGAAACTAGAATGAAGAGGATAATCATTCATGGTTTGAGACCTAAATATAGAGGCTTTTTTGCTATAGTATAGGATGGAAAAATCATCCATCACTTGTTGAGTTCGAGAATTTGCTTGTCGCTCAAAAGGCTTTGGCTAAGCAAATGGGTGGAATTTCATTAAAAAATAAAGTAGAGGCACTTTATGCTAATAAAAGCAAGTAGAATTCCAAGCAATATACTATTGGTGGATCAAAAAGAAATGAAGATAAGGCAAAAAAGCATCAAGATGCGAGAGGGAGCATTAAGGCACCATGGCAACAAGAAGAAGTTTGAATTGGAAATGCCACAACTACAAAAAGACGGGTCACTTGGCAAAGTTTTACCGGTCAAAGAAAAAGCCTATTGAAAGTAATGTTGTTATTTCCTGAAGAATAAGATGCGAGAGGCACTCTTTGTTATAGAAGAAGAGGAGTTAGCTTTCATTGTAATAACATCCAAGTAAATTGATTATGAGAATGATCTGGATCGTTGATTCCAGTCGCTCAAACCATATGACGAGTGACAAAGATAAGCTACAAAACTTGATAAAATACAAGAGAGGTTGTGTTGTGGTGATAGCAAATAACTCACCAATTGCTTACACTAGTGATACGGTAGTATCTCCTCAATGTAATACTAATGAAGTGTCACTCCAAAATATCTACCATTTACCGGGTATGATAAAAAAAAGCTTGTTTTCGGTAGTACAACTAACATCTTCGAGTCACTTTGTTTTGTTTGGCCCGCAATATGTGAAGGTGTATCAAAACCTTCGGACTTCGGAAAAGCCCATGATAAAGGGACAAAGACTAGAGTCGGTTTATGTGATGTCAACAAAGACCGCATATGTAGACAAGACCAGGAAGAATGAAACAACAGATTTATAGCACATACGATTGAGTCATTTCGAGCTATTCCAAGCTAAATGTGATGATGAAGAAGTCGATGTTGAAGGGGTTTCCTCAACTTGAAGTGAGAACCGACACAATTTATGCAAGCTATCAATATGGAAAAGCTCATCGCCTACCATATAACGAGTCCAAATTTCAAGCAAATGAACCATTAGAGTTGATACACTCTAATGTGTTTGGACCTTTTAAACAACCATCGGTTTGTGAAATGAAGTATATGGTGACTTTTATCGTTAGCTTCTCAAGGTATGTATGGGTTTATTTTATGAAGGAAAAATCTAACATATTTTTAAAGTTTAAGGAGTTCAAAGAAACAATTAAAGCGAGAAGTTGATAAGAGAATTTATTGTTTGCATACCGACAACGGAGGAGAATATAAAGTACCTTCGAGAATGTTGAATACGTCACCAGTTCACATATGCCAAAACACTACACCAAAATGATGTAGCTAAAAGAAAGAACGAGCATCTAACGAAGTTTGTCAAAGTATGTTTTATACGAAGAATGTAAAAAGAAGGTTTTGGGCGAAGCAATGAATACAACGACCTTTCGTGATCAATCGGCTTTCTCAACAAAGGTTATGCTTTCTTTCACCTTTTGAAAAATTATGGAATTTGAAACCTACTCGTTAGTTATTTTTGAGTTTTTAGATGTGTTTGCTATGTATTTATACCTAACTAGTTACGTAGCAAAATGGACAAGAAAGATGTTAGGTGTATTTTTGTAGGATATGACAATCAAAGAAAAGGGTGGAGATTTTATGATCCTACAACTGGAAAATGCTACACTTCTTAAAATGTGGTGTTTGATGAAGCCTCTTCATGGTAGTCCTCAACCAAGCAAGTGTTGTCGGTACTCGGATGCTTTTAAAGATGTGGTGCAATCTTCTCAAATTCGATTGAGAATAGATGAAACCGAAGATATAGATGATGATATTACGGGAGGCATAGCTCAAAATCCTTGGCAAGCCGGTGTGCATCATCAACCAAGCAAAGAATGTGACCCAATGTCATCCGGACAATCAACTAGAGTCAAAAAGTCAAATCTTAAATATGCTAATGCTCGTCATAGTAGAAGAAACGGATGCCAAAGAACCGGATACATTTGAGGAAGCATATCGGAATCCAAAGTGGATTGAAGCTATGGAAGAGGAAATTGCTGCATTACAACGAAATCAAACTTAGGAGCTCGCGCCCAAGCCAAGAGATGTACATCATATTTCTTGTAAATGGGTTTCTAAAATAAAACACCTCACAAATGGATCAATTGAAAGATACAAAACTTGCCCGGTAACTCAAGGGTTCACTCAACAATATGGGTCGGACTATGATGAAAAATTCAGTCAAGTTGCAAAGCTTACAACTATTCGAGTATCGCTTACACTTCGTCGCTAACAAAGATTGGAATTTGTGGCGGATGGATGTGAAGAATGTGTTTTTACATGGAGAGTTGGATCGAGAAATTTACATGAATTAGCCAATAGGCTTTCAAAGTCAAGATCATCGTGAATATGTGTGCAAACTTCGAAAAGCCCTCTATGAATTAAAACAGACACCGAGAGCTTGGTATGGTAAGATTGTTGAATTTCTTACTTATAGTGGTTATGTGATGATGCCTACAAATTCTAGTTTATTTATCAAAGTTAATGGAGGGAAACTAGCTATTGTGCTAGTATATGTTGATGATTTGATCATAACAGGAAATTATGAAGAAGAAATTCTTTGCACAAAGGAGAATTTATCTGTTCGTTTTCAGATGAAAGAACTTGGACAGCTCAAGCACTTTCTTAGTTTAGAGATTGATCGTACTTAAGAAGGAATTTTTCTCCATTAGCAAAAGTATTCTAGAGATTTGCTGAAGAAATTTGGAATGCTTGAGTGCAAGCCAGTCCTTACTCCAATGAAGCCAAACACCAAAATGTGTGCTCATGAAGGAAAAGAATTGAAAGATGCCACAATGAATCGACAATTGATGGGTAGTTTGATCTATATAACTCTAACTATGCCTGATATCTCTTATTCAGTTTATGTAGTAAGTCGATATATGCAAAATCCAAAGAAGCCTCATTTAGAAGCGGTGAGGTGAATTCTGCGATATGTAAAGAGCATACTTGATTATGGTGTTCTGTATAAAAAAATGTAGAGATTGCAAGCTAACTGGCTACTGTACTGCTGATTATACAGGTGACCATTATACCCGACGTTCGACTACTGGGTATGTTTTTATGCTAGGATCTGGAGTAATTTCTTGGTGCAGTAAAAGACAACAAACTGTGTCTTTATCGATAACTAAAGCAGAATATCGAGCAGCAGCAATGGTAGCTCAAGAAAACATTTAGCTTGTGCGATTGTTGAAGGATTTACGTCAACCAATTGATTATGCAGTTTCATTATACTGCGACAATCAATCAACAATATGTTTAGCAGAAAATCCTGTTTTTCATGCAAAAACTAAGCATGTGGCAGTTCGTTATCATTTTATCAGAGAGAAGGTTATGCAAGATGAAATTGAGCTGAAGCAAATTAAGACAGAAAAGGTTCTGCAAGATGAAATTGAGTTGAAGCAAATTAAGACAGAAAACCAAGTTGCTGATCTGTTCACAAAAGGTTTGAATGGCAATAAGTTTGCTAATTTTCGTCATCAACTCAGCTTGGTGAGAAGAACAGAAGTTGGTGTTAAGTGGGAGTGTTAAATTCAGCCCCAGCTTATGGAAGTCAAAGTCCAGTTCGTGGAGATCTGTTAAAATCTCATTTGAATAAGTGTTTAGTTAGTTGCTATTTTTTCAATCTTGAATTGTTCTATATAATCTTGTTTTGTCCTATTCCTTAGCAGTTAGTGGCTCTATCGTTAAGTGGTTAGTGGGTCTCATTAGTAATGTTAAATTCCTAGAATTTTAGGCCTGTAAATCTATATAAAGGCCATATTGTTTTGTTGAAAATTCATCAAGTGAAAAAGAGCATATCAGTTTTGCTTCTCTTCATATATCAGTACTTGTTTTCTTTTAGTGAGTTGTGGCATTGTGTTCAACAATAGTCATCTGAAATCACATTTCTCCTTTCTCTAGTGGATCTTCTTAATGGAATTGGTTCCAAAACAAACTTGTATTTTAATAGATTCCATTTAGTTTACCGTCTTTCCAATGGATGTGTTCGAGTCTCTATTTTAATACTTGTAATAAAAAACAATAAAAAAAATAAACTTTAGGCCTCTAAAACCAAGAATATGGCAATTATAATTGTATTAAATTAGCTTTAAGCGATTTAGGAAGTTGACAATAAAATCTACAATAGCCTATACAAAAATGAAAATAAAAAATAAAGTTAAATATATATATAAAGAAAATTTCTATCTCCTTTGGAAGTTGAAAACCTTGATAGAAAGGGCAAATACGAACGCAAAGAGGACTGTCCACCCAACAATTACTGCTGCAACAACTCCAAGAAAATCATGGTCGAAACCAAAATAATCCTTCACAAAATCTTCCACTCTTTGATTGCCGGCAATTGTTTTCTTTATATCTCCAAACTGCGATACAACCAACCCATACAATGTCCACGATACTGGACTTGCCCAATAGTACCATCTCCACCATATAGGTATGCTCTGTTATAGACCAAAGCATAAAAAGGAATCGAAAAATTATTCCACAAGCTAACCAACCAATCACTATGAAAACTTAGAATTTGAAGTAATTAAGATAGTAAACACTTACAGGTCGGGGAATTATAAACCCTGAGAAGAGGTTCCATAATCCGTAAAATGCCGAGGAAACTATAGCAGCAATGTGGTAGTTTGGAGTCATTGCGACAGCCATCATTCCGTAGAAGGTGAAGTATAATAGTGTGAAGTACATAAAGAATAGATACCAAAAGAACTTAGCGACGGTCCATTCAAATCCAATCATCGAATAAACTATAATGCCATAGACGGCAGCTTGAACAAAAATATACGGAAGCTCAATCAGGACCTGCAACACAAGATGGAAGTTTGGTAAAGAAAACATGCATAACATTCTACTTGATGAGTGAAGTCTGTGTAACGCCTGATGAATTGTTACCTGTGCAACAGCATAGGGCAAAGCTGAGTACATTCCGGCAGCTCTTTCCCTGTAGAAAACAGTTCTTTCAACAGCCACAACTGGCTGAACAGATGATGAATTTTGCACACCAAGGAAGAGAACAGCTGCATACATTGAGCCCATTGCATTGAAAAGATCTTGGGTACTATTCCTACAGTTTGTGAGAGAAAATGGATGAGCAAGTTGAAGTAAACCACCAAAGTCTGAACTTCTAAATTGCTTTAAATACCCCATTGTAACTTACACTTTGGAGCCAAGGTCCCAGAACATTGTACCAAACATCAAGGCTATAAAGGTCGTGAAAAGAAATCTCACAGCAGTGTATGGTGGATTTCTCCAGTATGACCAATGTTGCTTCCATAAGCAAGCCATACATTGTGTGAAAAATGATGTTGAATACATCGTAGGGAAATAAAGGTCCATCGAGCCTGGAGCAGGCGTGCTTAGTTCCGCAATAAGTGCTTTGTTTCTCCTGAATTATGTCACACATCATGAACAAATTTTAGATAAATTCATCAACAAATTCTTAATTAAAATATATTTTTCAATTTAACCACATAACCAGGTACTTTATCTGACCTGAACAGATCTGAATTCTTGTAGACGTTAGCAAAATCAACCCCCAAAGCCATTTCTTGTGCTGAACTAGAAACTTCCAACATCCAAGTTGCTGGATTGTAACCATCTTTAATTTTACTCACTCCTTCAATTGCCTTCACAGATGGAAAGGTATATGAATTAGTCCATCGTTAGTATGCATATAGGTCTGAAGATATAAATATGTGTTATTTGATCATTGATCGCATCAAACATACCTCAAAATATTTTATTAGATGGGTAGAATGGCGACCCAAAGGCCCCACATATATCTCTTGTCCTCCTCGCTTCATCAGGAATAGCTACATGCCATTTTAAATAATCCAGATTGTTATGGTGATTATAAACTTCTGATTCAGATAATTTGTTAACATGTCTTACCTCATCAAAAGCTTCAAATATGTCTATACTGGGCTGATGGATGGTGCATACAACTGTTCTTCCTGTATCCACAGTGTTCCTAACTGTTCTCATCACAATTGCAGCAGCTCTAGCGTCTAGCCCTGAAGTTGGCTCATCCATGAATATGATAGAGGGGTTTGCAACAAGCTCAACTGCAATGGTTAGCCTCTTGCGCTGCTCAGTAGACAAACCATTCACACCAGGCAACCCAACTAATGCATGGCGCAATGGATTCAACTCCACAAGCTCCATGACTTCCTCAATGAACATCTGGAAACCAATTTTGGCAACTTAGAAGTTAATTGGGTGTAGCTGAATTGAATTGAAGCTTTCTAGCGCAATCACTACAAAAGATTAACTTCACCAGCACCATTTTTAGCTATATCGAACCGGATCAGTCATCTTGATCAAAAGATGAATTATAAAATGAAATGCCGGTTTAACTAGGTGATGCTAATTGAGTTATTGAACTTGATTGGATGACAAGTGAGCCAAAAAGGAAACAAGACCGATATGAAGAAAAATTCACAGAACCCAAACTACTGAGTCCCACTCCCAGATGCCTAAAGCATATGTAAGGCAACGAGTGCCTACCTTTCTGGTTTCAGAGTCGACTTCAGAGTGTAGACGAAGCCAAGCTGAGTAGAGTAAGGATTCATAGACAGTAACATGTGGAGAGTGAATGTCATTTTGCTCGCAGTATCCTGAAATTCTAGCAAAAGTTTCTTGTTTCTTTGGATACCCCGAAATTTTGATGTCTCCCTCAATATATCCACCAGTTTTCCTACCAGCTAAAACATCCATCAAAGTCGTTTTTCCAGCACCACTAACACCCATCAAAGCTGTAAGGACACCAGGCCTGAAAGCTCCACTCACACCCTTCAAAAGCACCAATCTATTTTCAACAACTCCTTGAACTTTCATTTCCTGAAAATTTCAATGTAACATGGTCAGTGTGTCATGTTCTGTGAATCATATCACATCAAAGCCACGTGTGATCTTATTTTACAATTTTTTGATACCTGTGGCATGTCAACAGAGTAAATAACATCATCGAAGGTGATGGAATGTGGTTGAAATGGAAGAACCATTCCTTTTTTTCTGTTATTATGGACCTCGCCACTCGCCTCTGAATCACTTCTGCTAATTCCAACTCCACCCTCTGTTGGTAAATTGAAATTATATTGGTAATTAGTACCCAAAAACAATGGCTTGAGCACAAACACACTTCATCGATCGAGTTCTTTTACCTGTGTTAGTTCTGTGGCTATTTCCATGTTTTGATAACTGAATAGCTCCTCCTGTTCTGCGAACAGATTCACCATTTTCAGGCTCTTCAGATATAAAAGCCTGCGGCTTCTCAAATGCTGCCAACATAATTTGAAACTTATTAAAATAAGATCCAAATTCCAAGAGTTATGAAGTTGAGAGGTTAATGAAACTTACAATTGAGGAAAGTGAGGGCCAGAATGAAGCAAAGATTGAATAATAGTATGAATCCTATTGTTGCCCCAACTCCTATCCAATACCAATATGCTTCTGTAAAGAACCCTCGGCTCTTCAAAACTTGGATTCCTAGTGGTTCTGTGGAGTTTTCAGGAATCTGTGATTTGAAAAATAACTTCAGATATCAGTTGATTACCAAGAGCCACAGGTGCGAATATACAAATGGCCAGTTCAAGAAACTTTACATGACTCCAACTATTTCCGAGGAACTCATTCACTACCACAGCTGTCTGCCCATACATCAATGGTGAAATCCAGTAACCCCATATCCACCATTTCTTTATTTGCTCTGCAGCATTAAACAAACAGTAAAAACGGATTCTTTCATGTTTAATTGCAAAATATAAATTATAAGCACAATCATAATACCTCGCGACAGAATGAAGCCCCCCAAAGCAAAAAGTGTAAGTAATGCAAATGACCCGAAGGTGTTAGCAACAATCATGTTCCTTCCAGCAGCAGCGATAAATCTAAATAGTGCAGAGGCCATCTGGTTAATTAGCAAAAGCAGAAAGTACTGCTTAAAAAGCCTGCAGAAAAGCATCACTTTGTTATATCAGCTGGATTAGAATGGATTCTCTTACAAGTTTACAACAAATTAAGAATTTTTATTTACCTTCCAACATTTGGATCAAATCCAATGACATAGTAGGTTAGGAACACCCATGCAGCAACTTCAACAAATGTGATGGGAATTTTCAGGATCCATGGAGGAATTGCATATGCCCATGCAGGAAAGAAGCGGAGGTCTCTTTGCTTGTAAAACACAGGAAGCTTGGCAATGGTCATAGATAGCTCTGACATACCGTTAAACATGATCATGATCGCAGTAAAAAACAAAGCACCAGTATAAATTCCACCATCTGTAACTGTATCTCTATGCATCTCGGTCCGAAAGAAGAGTGTCATTGCAATGATGGCCATTATTGTAAGCTGACAGGAAGGGAAAAAATGTCACTCTATGAAAAATTCGAAAGAACATAAACTTAGGTAATGCAACAACTATCGGTAATTACTTGGCAAATCTTGAAGATGTAGACAAATGAGTTCCTCTTCATGAGTAAGTATTCTCTAGAGAAGTTAGCTTTAAGAAGATCCATCTTTCCAGCTCCATACGTTTTGGTTACCAAAGCAGCTGGATGGTTCTTGGACTTGTCAAATGGTGTTGAAAGCTCATCTGCAATCCTCCGTCCCACGTCAAATGATTGAAATGCCTCAGCAAATTCGTTGACTGTGACAAACCTGTAAGGTTGATCTACTCGTGCCCAGTACTGCTCTTGATCTTTAATTGATGTCACCTGCAACGAATTCATTCGTTATTTACAAAGATTATCATAATGCATGATGCTCTTCTTATATTCAATAGGAGAACCTATTGCCACAAAGGCGCCAAACACAACTGCCTTCTTTATGCTTACTTCTTGCAAAAAGTCAGCGGTGCCTTTTCTTTCAGGGCACTTGAAGCCCATATGTTCAAAAAATCCAAGCACATTTTCACGAGGCCCCTGGTACACAATTTGGCCATCTGACAGGAGGATAATGTCATCAAAGAGGTCATAAGTCTCGGGTGCTGGCTGGAGAAGTGAGATGACAGCAGTGGAATTGAGAATGTGAATGGTTTGCTTTAATGAGTTCACAATTTGGTACGTTGTTGAACTGTCCAAACCAGTAGAAATCTCATCCATAAACAATGCCCTTGATGGTCCGACCAGCATTTCACCTATGGTCCAGTGTTGCTGATTAGTAAAATGAAAAGGGACTAATTGGTCCCTGATACAAGTAATGGACTAATGGAGATTGTTACCAGTTGTAACTCGCTTTCTTTGTCCTCCAGAGATACCCCTTATCATTTCATCACCTACCATCGTTTCTGCGCAGACTTCCAATCCTAATATCTGTAATTTTAAGAGAAGGCACAAAACATTTAAAGGATACAATTTTCCCAGTTTCTGAAGATTTTGGTGACACTAATGTACTGCATACTGATAATACCTTTAAGACATAATCTGTGATGACAGTGGCCTCTTCACCTTGTGTTGCTACTGCCTGCAATACCAGAAACCGCAGAAATTGCAACTTATTTTACCAATTCGAGTCAATAATCAAGAGAATTGATAAATTGACGTAGAATTAAGGCCTTTTAATTTGGTTTAAATATCTAACAACAAGAACATTTATGGACTGAATAATGCCGTTGTTTTAAAGAAATGTTTCTATATACTTCTTTCCTAGTCATTTTTAAACAATTAGTGCACAGAATCTTTCCTCACCTTCATGAAGACATCAACATCTGGATCAGGCTTAATGTTGGCTTCTTTCTCTCTTCTGGACAACTCTGCCAACATCTCTGTGAATTGCCAAAATTTTATTCAGTTATAGATCACCGGAGTAAATTATGATTATGATTATGTTGGAAAATGCAAAGAAACTTTAGTCCATTATTCTAACCATGTAGGAATCCAACCCCTTGGCATCTGGCAGAGAACGACAAAGTTTCCCTCACAGTCATTTCTCCAATATGGAGATCATGTTGACTGATATAGGCTGCAGTTCTTTGTGGTACAAACTCATTCATCTCATGACCATTGTAAGTCACACGACCAGAAAACTGCACGAGAGAATTCAGCCTTTTCAGCTTCTCAAATTAAAACAGAAACTAAAAGCTAAATCCCCATGGAGAATACAGATTTACAAGAATATATCAGCACCTTCAGACTAGGATCAAGTTTTCCAGCCAATGATAACAACAGTGTGGTCTTCCCAGAACTTGGAGGACCCAAAAGCAAAGTCAATCTAAAACATGTACATAGCACAAAAATTAAGAATAGGCAACTAACTATCGAAGGAAGTTTTAAGCAAACAGATTTTAGATCATGATCATCTTACCTTGATGGCTTGATGATTCCACTAACATCCTTAAGGATAGCGAATGGTTTCTTTCTACTTGGAAGGATATGAAGAGCAATCAAGAAACCCTTCAAAATTGATTTTTTTCAAAAAAAAAGTGATTAGTTAATAGGAAAAAGAAGTATCATATTTCAGTAGCAATAACCGATGTTAAATGTTTTCAAATGTAGTTACCTCTAATATGTTAAAAGTAAACTTAGTAAATGAAGGCAAAGCACTGCTTCCTACATAAGCTTCTGCATCAATATTTAGATGATCGTACCGAACTTCAATTGTTGGAACATCAATTCCAACCCTGAAACACCAAAAGTTACAGAAAATCAAGAACTTCAACAACCAAAACTCTGTTTTCCAAGCAAGAAGAGGTACAACAAAATCCATCTTTCTGAATGGTTAAATCTGTATAATTAAACGGAGAAAACACACATAGCGAAGGAGCAACAAAGGAGAAATTTTTACCTTTCAATACGGTTCTTGAGCTTCCACAAGAACTTCTCATTATCCTCTTCTGCAACATTGACCAACCTCTCAAGCAACTGTTTCCTCTCTTGGACTCCAAGATTTTCAATATCTACTTCACTAGTTACACCTTTCGACGCACTAGTTAATATACCTTTTCTCAAACGATCATAAGTGGGCAGTTTCTCAAGGGCAGCCCATTTTAGGGCCTCTTCGTCATCTTCTTCTCTTGAAGATCTTGAAAATGCCTCCACAGTAGTGTTTCTCCATGCTGAAGAACCTACTCCAAAACTACCTCTTAAACTACTACTAGCTCTATAAATATCAGAACTCTCCATAGAATATGGATCAGTATATTTAAACAACAACTAAAACCAATCAAAACCCAGATTTTGTTTCCAATTTTTTTTTCTTTTCTTGGTTTTGGATCTTGAATGAAAGAAATCTTCTATAACAGCTAGAAGCAATCAAAACCCAGATTCGGTTTTATGGTGTCCCGTAAAAAGTGGGTGTGAAATAGGTGAGTATATATAGGGATGCAATGCTGGTGGTGGTGGCGGCCTTTACTTCTAACTTTTAAACTTGTTAACATGTATATAGAACACACTTGAAATTAAAAAAAAAAAAAACGATGACAGAGAAAATCGTTAGAAGATGCTTAATTTGGTGGGAAATGTTTCCTCCTTTTGCCTTGAAGACATGTAACCGACAATGGTATTGTCTCATTTTTACCCCGTTTTGCATAGCCCAACAAACTGCAGTAATATCCTCTAGTACATCCCGTTATAACCTGTTTAGTAATAAGAATAAAATGATAAAAATAAAAATACAAAAAATGAGAATTTTATTTATATTTTCATATTGTATTTGAAATACTAACGAAGAATTGAATTATAATTTAATTTTTTTAATATTTGATTTTTTATATAAATAAAAATAATAATTAAAAAAATAATTTTATCAAAATATAATGGTTGTAAAAATAATAAAGATAATGGTAGTAATGATTATGACAATAGTAGTTCTAGTAATAGTGGTGATGGGATGATGATTGCGATGATGGTGATAAAAATAGTTAATAGACAATAAATAAATACAATATATTATTATTTTGAAAACAAATTTATTCTTCTTTCTTATTTTTATTTCAACATTTTATATGAGAATAAAATTATGCATAAATTTTCATTCTTATTCTCATTCTTTATTTATATTATCACTCCATTTCTCTTAATCAAATAGCTACAACGTGAAAATAAAGTTTTCATTTTCATTCTCGTCATTCTATCACCGATTAGCACTTTAGTTATCGAAAACAAATCAGTATAGATTTGATGATATTAATCAGCAAAAAACGAATAAACTTCCAAACAGGTTTCATGCAAATAAAATTGTGAACAAATCAGCATGGAGTTTTACTGTTGTTGCACAACCAACTATTAAGTACAGAATTTATTTACGTATCAAATTTTAAATCTTTTGATAAATTATAGAAACCGTTTGATGTCAGAATAAAAGATTTTGTAAACAAATCAGTATGGATTAAAATTAGAGGTCCGTCCGGAACTTTATGCATGGCTTTACACTTTTCCTAATTTTGGTCAACGTGGTGATGTTGTTAATTTATGGTATTAATTTCGACGGCAAGTGGATTCATTGCTCTTGTTATTATTTCAAATTCAAAATCAGCTTGTGAATATAACTTTTGAATATGGATAGTTTGCATAAAACTCGATCCAAAAATAAAATAAAAAATTAATATTATACATTAAAGTTGACCAAAGGATACCTGTTTCTTAAAAAAAAGAAAGTCATATATATATATATATATATACTTTTGTTAGCAAATAGAATGGTACATGGAGGATTTTATTTTATTTTATTTTGATCAAGTGACGATGAAAATTTCCTTTCAAAAGTTAAAAAATTAAAAAAAAAATGATTTCCACTAGTGTACTAATATTCTTTTTGTATATAAAAATTTTGAAGTCATGAATTTTTTTATATAATTTTTTTCAGATATTTTTATCTTTCTTTGAAGATTGGATTAATTATATTCAGAATAAAAATAAAAAGATTTAACTACTCTCAATAATTATAATTTTAAAATTTAAATCTTATATATTGATAATAAATTCGATTGAACATCAATTCATTTATTGCTAAATCAATAACTCGTTGATTGAAGTTGTAAATTTTAATTCCGAATTAAATAGGATACTTAACAAGGCGTTTTCTTCCAAGCAAGAACATTTCCAGAAGGCAATGCCAGATTGTGCATGTGTAAAACGAACTTAAGACAATATCCGGTCAAAAAAAGAAAAAAAAGAAGGTCAATATCCCAGCACGTAGCAGAAGAATCGGATTTGAACTCTCTCTTTAAGTCCTCTGGTCATTAAACGGTTTCCAGCACAGTTTTCCTGGCTTTCTAGAACCAAACTCGTACAACTAGGCATCACTAGTGATGTCTTTCGTCTTCAATTAATAGTCGGAATTAGGGAGGTTATTGATGACGCAGCTTAAATGTCAAACTTGGAATCTAAAATCCATATTTTTTGGCCTGTGCAGTCCCTCCGGAGGCTGTTTACGTTTTGTATTAAAGAATATTTATTAGATTTTTTTTTTCCATACGATCTAATTGTATGTTTTTTAGGCCATTGCTCTCGTTCCTTTCAAAAAAACAATATCAATATTTATATTTATATTTATTTCAAAATAATTATTCAAAAAATTTTAAATGATGTATTTTTAAAATAATATTTTTAATTAAAGGTTATTTTGTATAAATATGATTTTAAAAAAATTGAATAAAATGAGACTCTTTTTGAGACGGAAATAATATTATTTATCGTGCACTTTCCCAAGACTTTCCAATGCAAACGAAGGAAAAACAGAAGGAAAAAACAGATCGTAGCTGGAAGAGAGAGACTATAGAGATACCCACCTATAATAGATATGAAAGCATATATATTAATATATGTATATAGCATGTGAACAAGTTGACATATAGTATTACAAATATACACGCATGAGCTAGCTTGCCCTGCATAATATATATATATATATAGCATGTGAACAAGTTGACATATATATACAATATGTGGACAAGTTGACATATAGTATTACAAATATACACGTATGAGCTAGCTTGCCCTGCATAACAAAACAGAGAGATACTGAATTGGAAGTATGTGGTCCTATACCACTTGCAAGCTATAACCTAACTGCAGGCAATCCACCCATTGCCAAGCTTCTTTGTCGGTTTTTGTACGCCGGGGGGGGGGGGGGGGGGGGGGGTTTGGTTTTGCGTATAGAATTTTTTTTCTCCTTTGTTGGTTTTTTATTTTTTATTTTTTATTTTTATATCAATTGCATGTGTGAAATTATTTTATTATAAAAGATATTTTTAAGCTAATTTATATACCAGTCAAAATCAATTTTTTTCAAATGATTTTAAAGATATATATCCTTCACATTGATCTAATATATCTTAAGAAAATAATTCATCTATATATTAATTTAAAGATTTAAACTCAAAAAATCAAGAAAGAACACATCCGATTGACCATCAAGGCAAAATTTGCCTTTATCGAAAGTTAGAATATATAAAAGTATTTGATATATTAAATAAAAAGCTCGTTTAAGTTAGAATCTACCTAGTGGGAGAAAACAATAACAATAACAACCTAAAAATTATCAAGCTGCACAACAAAATAATTTTTTCCTAATTCTTATGCAAATATGATAGAAAACGAGTAACGTAAAACAATATAACGAGTTCAAATAATACACCACCAATCACATATAAATGCAAGTCAATTTTAACATGAAAAACCTCTTCGATATGAGGAGTAAAAACCACGAGACCGTAGTCCATAAAAAAATCCACTATGAATTAAATAATGGGTTCACAAAGTTTTTCTCTAGCTCTTCCTAAAGGCGTACATCAACATTATCATCAAGACTAATTATCTTGGAATAATGACTTGTGAAAGAGATCAATAAGGATAAATCTTTCAAAATAGAGTTATTGTTCACGTCTAAAATGACCGATTTAGGGAGCTCGATGATGATCCGATCGTTCGGATTGAAGAACCTTGAGTCGAGAGTATGCTATCAAAATTTCAAGCTACTAAAAATTAGTACTCGGTCGTCAATTTAATGAAACTACCACAACTTTCGAAAGAATTAGATTTTCTAGTCTTTTATTTACTCTCCCTCATGTTTTTCTTTATTTTCTTTGAAGTTTTTATATCACCACTTCAAGCAACGAACCAAAACCTACTTATTCAAGTTTTTAACCTCAATTATTGGGTTTTTCTCTACATAAGGAGCAACTTAGCCCCACAAATCTCCCCTCCACATCCTTGTGGAGGAATTCACCATTTTAGCGATGAAAACAATGCTCAAGCTTCTCTCTTTGTAGTATCTTTGTTATCATATCAAAACCATTATGATCGGTATGGATCTTTTCAAGCTCTAATAACTTTTTATCCAGAGCATTCATCATCCAATGATATCTAATGTCAATATGGTTTGATCTAGAATGAAATAAGGAGTTATTGCCAAGATGAAGTGTACCACGATTATCACAAAATAACACATATCTCTTTTATACAAAACTAAGTTCTCCCAAGAACGTTTTCAACCATAGCAATTATTTACGAGTTTTTGTTACGGTAATAAATTCGGTTTCGATTATAGAAAGTGCAACACACTTTTGTAACTTTGACTTTCATGACACAACTCCATCAAAAAATGAAATCAAATAACCCGAAGTAAATTTTCGAGTATCATTATCTCCAGCGAATATACGAATTTATGTAGCCACCCAACTCAAGTTTTTCGGTCCTAAAACTAAACTTCAAACTAGAAGTTTCGCAAAAATACCTCATAATCCATTTTACTACATTCCAATGGCCTCTTCCTAAATTTGACAAAAAAAAGACTAATAACACCAACTGCATGTGTTAAGTCCGGTTGTGTACATACCATGGCATATATTAAGCTTCATATTGCTAAGGCATATGAAACACTTCCCATGTCTTTTTTTTCTTTATCCTATTGAAGGACTTTGCATGGTGCTTAATTTAAAGTGGACGACAAAAGGAGAGCTAACCACTTTTAATTTGTCCATGTAAAATTTCTAAAGAATCTTCTCGATGTACTTCTTTTGTGACAAGAACAATTTCTTTATATTTCTATCCCGAGTAATTCGATGCCAATAATCTTTTTTGTCGGGCCTAAGTCTTTCATGAAAAAGACTTGCTTAATTGTTTCTTTAATAATTTAATTTTTAAAGCATTCCTATCAATAATCTATATATCGTCAACATAAA